GAGTTCTGGACCCAGTGGCTTGAACATCACACGAGGCATGCGTGCACGTGCGTGTGCCCAAGATCCCAAGAGGAGAGGGGAAGAGATTGCAGCGCAGCCACGCCCCCCCGGGGGGAGGATTTCTCCTTTTCCCTCTCTCTCTCCTTCTCTCTTTCTCTCTGGCAAGCACAAGTGCCCTATAGCAAAAACTAAAAACAAAAATAAATGGGGGGGGGATCTTTGTGCCACGATCCCCTTTCTGCAGCCCTCCAGCTCCTCAGGGCGTCGGACATATGCTCATGAGTGGCATGTTTTCAAGCCAACCTGGGGATCCAGACCCATGGTCGGCACCGTGGCTTCCAACAACGCGCTCAGTCTGTCACGACTGTACCGCCAGGATGGGCAGGGAGCATATTTGTTTAAGCTATAAGTCAGGGCCTTATTTATCAGTATGCATCTTTTAAAACTAACTTACCCAGGTGAAGTTGCATAACATAGAGTTAACCACTTTAAAGAGAGCAATTCGGAGACATTTAGTATATTCATAATATTATACAACCACCACCTTATCTGGTTCCATAACATTTTTATCACTCCAAAGTGCACCTTTTTTATACCGTTGAAATGGTTTGAGATCCAAGATGGCGGCCAGCAAGAGGCTGTTGAAGGAGCTTGAAGAAATCCACAAATGTGGAATGAAAAACTTCCGTAACATCCAGGTTGATGAAGCTAATTTATTGACTTGGCAAGGGCTTATTGTTCCTGACAACCCTCCATATGACAAGGGGGCCTTAACTCTGGGAACCACGAGGTAGATGATTCCAGAACACAGCGGGAAGAGACGGGAGTAGAACTAGTCCTGAGGAATTGATCTAATTTTCTAGGAAAATGCTCCCTATATTTACAAGTTGGAGTGTTACAGGTGTTACAAGTGGGACTAGCCAGCGGCGTGGTAGTTAAGGCAGTTGGATCCCACATGGCTGACTGCATGGTTCAAGTCCCCAGTCTGGCAGCCTGAGAAACACACCAGGCGCATGTGCATGTGTGCCCAAAATCTCAAGAGGAGAATGGAAGAGAAGGGATTACACTGTGGACATGCCACCCTCCCCCAAGGGGCGAGTTCTCACTTTCTCTTTCTGTCGCTTCCTGGTTAATATACAAATTCTATAGCAGAAAAGAATTTTTTAAAAAGAATGTTGCAATAAACGACATCATTTTTATCACCTTGCAGAGAGAAGGCTTCCATCTGCATTGCTGAGGTCCTCAAAGAGAGACAGGGGTCACAGCTCCCCCTGAGGGTCTACGGAGCACTTCTCCATGCTGCACGGGGTCCCATGTGACCCTCAGCCCTGGGAGGGCAAGGCAGATGTTGCTTGCCCCATTTTCAGATCATGAAGCTGGAGTCCAAGGCCACATGGCCAAGAGAAAGCTGGTCAGCTCCCCAATGCCTGCTGGGACTCCTTCTTTCCCTCATGCTGCTGTCCCCTTCCTGGCCTAAAAACAGACTCTTTTCATCCAAGATGTGAGATTCTGGGAAAGAACAGAGACCAGACAGGCAAGTCAAAAGGTTGCAGAGGCTGTTTGGGGGCCAGGTGATAGGTGCACAGGGCTGGGAAGAAGGCCCTAGACCAGGCTGGGCGAATGGTTTCAGAACACTGGGCTTCCCATGGTCCAGCCTCTAACACTCTCCTGGAAGAGACCACCTATTCACCTATTCTGGGCTGCCACAGGCTTCTCTGAGGACCACGCTGGGCAGAAACCAGACAGCCCTCTGCAGACGCTGAGTCCTTCCCTGAGCACAGGGAAGGGGAGGCCGCCGTCAGAGTCCCGCTCAGTGGGCGCAGGTGGGAAGTGAGCTTGCTGTGCTCTCCCTCCAGGCCAGGTGGGAGCCCAGAAGTCACCCTGCGTGTGTGAATGTGGACACACTTTCCCTGGCTGAGAACCACAGCAAGATGCAAGGAATGTCCACCAGGCTATGGTTGTCAAGAGGCTGGAAACATATTTTTTAGGAAAATATGAGTATTTGTTTTATATTTGGATGAACAGTTACCTATAAAAAATGCTTGCTAATTTGATAGATATATTTGACTTTCATTATTTATTAATCAGAATTTCTTGGACTATTTTTGACGTTAACAGTAGATGACGTTTATTTATTGCCTGGTTGTTATTCAGCTAATAGAGAATGTATTTTTAAAGTTTATTTCACTCATGATAACACATGTGCATGCACAGCAGAGAGACAGGGAGACAGAACATTCCTCGAGAGAGCCTCTTCAGGCTACCAGGTGGTGTGGAGGTTAAGGTGCTGGCTCCCACATGGCCAGCTTCACAGTTTGAGTTCTGGACCCAGTGGCTTGAACATCACACGAGGCATGCGTGCACGTGCGTGTGCCCAAGATCCCAAGAGGAGAGGGGAAGAGATTGCAGCGCAGCCACGCCCCCCCGGGGGGAGGATTTCTCCTTTTCCCTCTCTCTCTCCTTCTCTCTTTCTCTCTGGCAAGCACAAGTGCCCTATAGCAAAAACTAAAAACAAAAATAAATGGGGGGGGGATCTTTGTGCCACGATCCCCTTTCTGCAGCCCTCCAGCTCCTCAGGGCGTCGGACATATGCTCATGAGTGGCATGTTTTCAAGCCAACCTGGGGATCCAGACCCATGGTCGGCACCGTGGCTTCCAACAACGCGCTCAGTCTGTCACGACTGTACCGCCAGGATGGGCAGGGAGCATATTTGTTTAAGCTATAAGTCAGGGCCTTATTTATCAGTATGCATCTTTTAAAACTAACTTACCCAGGTGAAGTTGCATAACATAGAGTTAACCACTTTAAAGAGAGCAATTCGGAGACATTTAGTATATTCATAATATTATACAACCACCACCTTATCTGGTTCCATAACATTTTTATCACTCCAAAGTGCACCTTTTTTATACCGTTGAAATGGTTTGAGATCCAAGATGGCGGCCAGCAAGAGGCTGTTGAAGGAGCTTGAAGAAATCCACAAATGTGGAATGAAAAACTTCCGTAACATCCAGGTTGATGAAGCTAATTTATTGACTTGGCAAGGGCTTATTGTTCCTGACAACCCTCCATATGACAAGGGGGCCTTCAGAATCGAAATCAACTTTCCAGTAGAGCACCCATTCAAACCATCGAAGATTATATTTAAAACAAAGATTTATTACCCGAACATCGATGAAAAGGGGCAGGTCTGTCTGCCAGTAATTAGTGCTGAAACCTTGAAGCCAGCCACCAAAACCGACCAAGTAATCCAGTCCCTCATAGCACTGGTGAACGACCCCCAGCCTGAGCACCCACTCCGGGCTGACCTAGCTGAAGAATACTCTAAGGACCGTAAAAAATTCTGTAAGAACGCTGAAGAGTTTACAAAGAAATATGGGGAAAAGCGACCTGTGGACTAAAATCTGCCATGATTGATTCCAGCAAGTGTGAGCAGAGACCCCGAGCAGTGCATCAGACACCCCGCAAAGCAGGACTCTGGAAAATTGACACGGGCCACCGCCTGGCATTCGCTTGTGGCAGTTACTAACTTTCTACAGTTTTCTTAATCAAAAGTGGTCTAGGTAACCTGTAAAGAAAGGATTAAAAATTTAAGATGTTCTAAAAAAAAAAGGTTTAATTATTTCCCCCCATCTGGATTGCAATCACTTTAATTCCTAATCATTAAAGCCGCATAGTAATTGGATACGTAATACAGAGTGCTCACTACGGTGACCTGTCAGGAGCACAACTGCGAGGCCAGGGAGGTCAAGTGCCAGGTACAAGGTCACGTGCTGCCGAAGGGCACCCACATTGGCCTGCTTTTCAACACAACTGACTACAACTCCTTTTGCATAGACAGAGCAGTTAAAATAATACTTTCTTTCCTTCTTATACCAAATGTTCCCTTAATAAGAATAAACAGGGGCCAGGCAGTGGCGCAGTGGAAAGGTCACCAAACACACAAGGGAAAGGTCCTAGGTTCGAGCCCCATCCTGGGACCTCTCTGAGCACACCAGGTGAGCATGATCCAGGCTGACTGAGGCGAGGGGTAGGTCTTGGGGCCAAGACCCTGTAGGGTTTTTCTCTGTCTCTCTCTCATTTTGTCTCTCATAGGAAACATAAACTTTAAAACAACTTTTAACAGATAATAATAAATTATTACGTAAATAAGTAATTTTGCTTATTGACTTTTAGTTAAATTTTCCTGGCATTCAGAGTTTCTATTTCATGCCCATGTTACCCGGAATCATCCAGTCATGCTCATTCCCACACCTGCCATTTCATGGGAACTACTGTCACCTGTCCACCTGTCAACAGAGAGGTCAGCAGTGTGGAAGAAAGGCGAAAGGTTTTGGGATCTATTTCAGGTTTTCTTTCTGATGAAAAACGCATTGAAAAAGAAGACTCTGGCATGAAAGATGCGAGAGTGGCCTGAAGCTTTCCAAAGGTGTAACTGTTCAACTTTTTATTTTTTGATGTTTTATTTAGTCTTTAATTGCTGGAGGTGCATGCACTCACCAGAGAGTCAGAGAAATAGCGGGAGAGGAAGTAGCCCTCCCCACGCACACCATGCGGAATAGCCACGCTCCCCTTCTCCATCTCTCTGTCCCATCAGGATTTGAGAAACGCAGGCACTACTTGTTTTTCAAGTCACCAAAGAAAGGACTTGAACCATGGTTGACCATGTGGGATCCAGCAAAGTCTGGAAAATGGGTTTCCACCCGGACCCATCCCTCAGTTAAGCCTTGACCCATTTGGACTAGAACATCTCTAAGGCTCATCCTGAGAGTCTGTGACTGCTCCCAGATTATGCAGCTGCACCTGCTGCTGCCAAGCACAAGCCCTGTCTTTCCTCACTCGGCCTCAGGTCTTCCCCTCTACTCCAAGCCTGGCACCTGCTTCCCACCACTTCCCCTGGATTAGCTTAAGGAGCCCAGTGAGCGAGGGAAAACAGCCCCCAAGAGCAATGTTGGCCCATGAAAAAACCAAGCGACCTGAAAGCAATAAACCCACCAACCTGAGACAGATCTTTCTTCTTTTTGCAGTTGGTCCCTCCAATGAAGACCATATTGGGCATGACTGGCCTGGGATAATCAAACACAAAGTCATATCTTAACAGCCAAACAGAGCCCTTTCGGTACAGGGCAGGCAAGTGCACATCTCTCTTGAGAACTTCCGACGCGAGGTCTTCATACTTGGAGTACAGACAATAGAACAGAAAGGGCTCTAACCAATTCACGAGGAAGTTGCCCACGCGCTGGGGAAAGGTCATGTGATCTGAGAACTTGGTGTAGCACCTGGGGATGTAGGACACAGGGTTGGGACTTCTGCTGAACGTGTGTTCCAACGAACACGGGAAGCCCCGGAAGAGGTACACGGAGGGCAGGCCCAGGTACTCAGCCAGGATCACACCGCAGGGCATGGCTGGGTCTGTGAAAAGAGCATCAAACTTGCCCTCTTTGAGGAAATCCAGCGTGTCCTGGTCCTTCAGGAGGTGCTGGCAGTTGATGAAGCACAGTTCGACAACATTCATGTTGTTCCTGTACTCCACCAGAGGAGCGCTCAGGAATGACCTCTCGGCGAAGTGACCGTTCCCGAAGGTGCGGAACCGGGTCTTCAGCTCTTCTTCATCGTAAGGCACTGTGTAGATTTTCCTCGTGTAGTATTTGGATTCTCTCAAAAGCAAATTGACTTCTGGCACTAGCACCACAATGTCATGCCCCCTGTCACTGAGATGCTCAACTATGTCCTTCATACTAAGCCAGTGGCTTCCATCCTGGGGAAACACCAGCAGCTTGTCACCTGCAACCAGCCCACAAAGGGCCAAGAAGAAAACCCCAGCAGAAGCTCCCCGACATGCATGAAGATGGCAGGCCATCCTGGAGGGTGTTAGAGTAACAGCAATAATAAACTTGCCCTAAACCACACAGCTCCTGGCTATCTCCCCCAAACTAACAGTGCTTCCCATGGGTCCTGCCTACCTCTCTCTCACTCTGAATCTTTTCCTTTGATACAAGAGAACCCAAATTAATATTTAACTGTTTTTGGACCAACCAGGCCCTTTATTAGCTTCTGCCTGAGCTTTTCGGTTTATTTTTCTCTATGTCTCCACCCATCTGCCTCTCCCTCTCTAATGATTCACAGCCACAGTCCAAAGAGAACTTGAGCTATTCTGAGGCTCCCCGCCATTGCTCTGTCTTGAATTCTCTGGATTCTTCATCCTTAATGATCTCCATAGATGAATAGCTGGCAATGGCTTTCCCCGTTCTTGTCAAGTTTTCTCAGAACAGAAAGGAAGTATTAACAGATAACACATTTGAGATTCAGAAGGACAGAGTGGAGCCCCCACTCCAAATTATGACTACCACAGTGACGGCTAGATTAAGACATACACAGCAGGGAGCCAAGGAGGCATAGAACGAGTCTGAGATAATGTTCAACCCTGTTTCCCCCATAAGTCTCTGTCACTGGGGCTTTCTGTTAGATGCACCAAATCTAATCCTAGTGGCTATATTCTCTAAGAGCACAGTTTCCATTTCCCACATGGTTAAGAGTGTGAATTCTAGAGTCAACCTGCCCCTTTCCACCTGGGCGACCCCACCACTCTGAGCGTCATCTGTTAAACCGGTGTTGTATCAGAATCTGCCCCAGAGTTGCCGCAAGAACTAGCCTTCTGAATGCAAGTGCCCAGGACAGGTGCCTCAGAGGGGCTCCCTCTGGCCCCTGTATGGTATAAGCTGAGGGGTACAGATAACCCAAACATAGCTCCTGAAAAATCTCAGAAAGCAAAAGATCCTCCCCTGCCCTGTGTATGAGAGAACTCTAGGAGAAGGAATAATGGACAGAGAGAAGGTGAAAAAAAAAAAGGAAGAAGAAAATGTAAAATATACACAGAAGGAAGGCATTTCCTTCTATTTTCCAAGGGGAAATTTGGACACAGAGATACACACAGGAAGAAAACCATATAAAGATGAAGGTAGAGATTGGGGTCACGCTCCTACATGTGAAGGAAGGCTGAAGATGGCCAGCACCCCCAGAAGCTAAAGCAGAGCCTTAGCTGAGAGGGCTCTTAGCTGAGAGGGCATTTGGATGTTAGCCACTCAAGCAGCAAAGAGCAATCTGTGAGCCAGGGACTCCTGGCACCGAGAGAACATTCTGGCTCAGGAAACACTTTCCATAGTCTTGGTTTCCTGGGGCGGCCCCAGCAAAACACCACAGACAGGGTGGCCTGGGCACCAGCAATGTGTCTCACAGCCCTGTCAGGTGAACGTCAGATCAGGTGACAAGAGTCGATTCCATCTGAGGCTGGGAGGAGGAAGCCTCCAGGCTCTGCTTTAGTTTCTGGGAGAGCTGGCCATCTCTGGTCTTTTGTTACATGTGGAAGCATCGCTCCAATCTCTTCCTTCCTCTCTATATGGTTTTCTTCCTGTGTGTGTCTCTGTGTCCAAATTTCTCCTTTAGGTAAGGACACCAGTCCCATTGCGTTAGCACCCACCCTAAAGACTTCGTCTAACTAATGACATCGACTATGACTGTTTCCAAACAAGGCAGCAATCGAAGACCTCGGGCATCAGGACTCCAAGCCATCTTTCTGGGGGACACAGCTCGACCCCTCACAGCCACCCACCATTTCACGAGACGCAAACCCTAGAACACAGGTATGACCCCCCTTCCTAGCGAGGAACTTAAGTTGGACGCCAGAGGGAGGACTTTTGTTTGTAACTCCTGCAGCTTCTGAAGGAAAAACAAAATTGGCCACTTCTGGATCAGCCATTTTCACGCGTTTTGGTCTCAAGACTTCTTTACACACACTTCATAATGATTGAGGACCCCCCACCCCCGACCAAAGCTTTTGTTTATGTGGGCTCTATCTAGGTGAACTATCTTCGAAATTAAAAGTGACACATTTTTTCAAATGTCTCCTCATTACTATATCTAAGATAACAGGAGTAAAAATAAGTTACCATAAATTTCATTTTTTCTGAAAACAAATTAAATTATTCAGAAGAGTGGCATTGCTTGACATGTTTGCCAGTCCCGTCGATGCCTGGCATTCTCGATGGCCGCGGGCCTCTGCTACTGCTGTCATTCCAACTACTGCAACTTCAGCCGTCGCGTAGCCTCCGGAAACTGAAACTCTACGGAACCCTCCCGAGACGATGCGAGCAGAGGAAGCAGATCATGTCTTCGCACTGTTATAAAACTAGTGTGACCTCACACACTCCCTTAAAGGGTCCCAGGGATCTCTTGGTTCCTTTGAGAACCCCTGTTCTAGATTAGGGGTTGGCAACTTTTTCTAGAAAGGCCCAAACAGTAAATATTTTCAGGTCTGTGGGCCATTCAATCTCTGTAGAGTGACCCACCGCTGCCATTGTAGAGGGGAGTCATGAGGACACTGACAACCACAGGTGGCAGGAACGCCCGACCCAGCCATGTCAGGCTTGATTTGAAAAATCTGGGAGCAGGTTGGATTTGGCCCACGGGCTAGTTTGCCAGTCACTGCCCTAGCTGATGGCAAGAACCAAGATGCCGACTCTACCTCAGAGGTCCTCCAGCTCTGTTGTCCCCACACTGCAGGCTGTCAGGGTCATACTGAGGACACCTTCCCTGCAGAGCCCACTACTAAACAGCCCAGCCCAGCACTCTGAAGCCCCTCCCTCCTATTCACACCTGCCTGCTCCAGCGTTTGTTTACCATGTCCCTCCCCCAACTGGTGGAACGCCTCCAAGGGGGGGGGCAATGTTTGCTTTGTTCTCTGCTGTATTTACTCCGAGGTCAAGAGCAATGTCTGGCACAATAAAGAGCTGCTGAGTGAATGAACTAGCTTTTGCTTTGCTCAACCATTTTATCCTCACACTTATTTTCATTTTTCTTTTCAGTTGTGAGGACTTACTAAGTAGAAAGACTTAGAGAGTCACGTATTCCTTTGGGAAACAAACTGGTCATCGAGTCTAGTGACATGTAGAAGGAAAACCCCATTTTTCTTCCTTATAAACAGCATGACCGCTTCTGCAACCAGACGGGTGGGGATTTTCTCCCACACTGAGCAGTTCAACAGCGGCCGAGTGTCTTGGCATTCAGCTCGGTTCTGATGTTACGGGAGTTAGCCCAGACCTCACAGGCGAAGGGCTCTGTCCCACGAGGTGGCTGCACTTCAGACATCGATCACATGAATCGCCTCAGACTACCCACGGCCTCTGTCTGAGTTCGTTGGGCGTCAGAGGCCCCCTTCTTGGCTTCAGTCATTTGCCCTGGGCAGTACTATGGGACCCGAGGTGTCCTCAGGTGTCACCATGAACCTGAGTGTCCAGGCAAAGATCAAAGGACTCAGAGAACTGGCGGAAGCTGCTGACTTTCTGGTTTACTATAAAGGATACTTAGAGAACACAGGTGAAGCATGCAGGGCAAGGCATGGGGGAGGCGTGTGGAGCCTCCTCGTCCCCACCAAGACTGCCAACCCACTTCTGCCTGCCTTCAGTTCTCTGACCCCTGTCCTCTGGAGTCTATGTGAGGCATCATTACATAGCTGATTTAAATCATCTATTCAAATCAATGGCCTCTGGTGAGCAACTCAACCTTCAGCCCCTTTCTCCACCTGTCCCTCCAATCACAGATCGGTTCTCCTGGCAACCACTCCCATCCTTAGGGCTTCCAAAGCCATTCCACTAGTATATGCTCAGGGGTGGTTGAAAGGGGTTGCTTTAAGTAACGAAAGACCCTTCATTCAGTTTTAGTACCTCTAGCCAGAAACCAGGGACAAAGACCAAAATACATATTCTTTGTATAGATCACATTACCACACGCAGCCTGTTCCTTGCCCTTCAGAAGGCAAGACTGCGGAAGCATGAGTCTAGGCAGCGTGTGGTGAAAGCCCTGGGTAGGAGTCACCAAGCCTATACCTGCTTCCAGCCTGACCACCCCCGGCCGGGGAGTTCTGAGCCTTCGGTTTTTCTCCCAAGACCCAGGAAGGGAGAGTCCCTTTTATCCTGCTGTTTTATCACACCACTAGGAAGGTGCCAGGGGATGAGGGGTATGGGAACCAGGCTGCCTGGCAAGAGGAGGTTACTGGCATGACTAGAAGAGACTTGCCCAGGGCCAGTCACGCACACCCAGCTAGCACGAGAGGCCTTGTCCCGACCTGCGCCTTTGGCCCGAGCAGGGTGGTGAAGCCTAGGAGACAGAGGCGGCCTGAGGAACAGGATTAAAAGAATTGTCCCAAATTAGGGCCAGCCCCTAATTTGCAAAGTGAGTGTTAAAGGCACGCAAAGCCGCGCCCATGTTGGGAGGCACCTCCCAGGTGTACCTGGTGGGAGAGAGCAGGCAGCAGGCTTTCCTGACTACAAGTCAGAGTCGGGAGGGTAGCAGCATCCTGCTTTGGGGCCATCTCGATAGCACAAAGACCCTGAAAGTTTACAATGAAAGCACAGTGTGGGTGCTCCCTTCCTGGGGAGGTGGAGCTATTCGGGTTTTTTTCCCCAAGATCAGCACACCTGGAAGAAGGCTTAAGAGAGAAGGCTTAAGAAAGCATGTAGAGGGAACCAGCAGTTAGCATAATGGCTATGTCGCTGGACTCCCATGTAGTCGACCGAACGTGGTTCGCGTCCTGGACTCGGTGGCTTAAAACTCACGCCGGGTGCGTATGCATGCGGTGCCCAAGATCCCGAGAAGAGAATGGAGGAGAAGGGATTGCGGTGTGGCCATCCCCCCTGGGAGGTGATTTCTCACTTTCTGTCTCTCTCTCTCTGTGTCTGTCTGGCGAGCGCACGCGCCCTATAGCAAAAACCTCTCAAAAAAAAAAAAGAAAAAGAAAGAAAGAAAGCTTGTAGAGGTGGAGCAAACGAGAGCCACCACAAACCTCGGACTACGTCAGACCCCTACTCCGACAAGGACCTGCGCTGGGGCTTTCAGAGCAGAGCCTTGCTCTGCAGATCGTCTGGCCCATCTGTGTGGGTCCTGTTCTTACCCCTAGCAGGTCCAAAGGGGCATAGGTTAGAG